ATAATAAAAAATCACTTATTTATTGCAAAAATTGTGCAGAGAAAACGTCAAAAAATGGAAATTTATTTTCATAAGCGTTTCATATTCAAAATTTTTGACTTTTTTCAATTTTTTTAGGTTCAATTACGAATTATGGGTATAAATAATAAGAATTTTTTCGCTGCCTGTTATAGGATCAATATCACGGACGCCATTTGTCCAGCAGCTGAGCAACTCGCACGCGTACCTGCCAAATGGGATGCTTCATATGTCCGCCATTTTTAAATATTTTTGGAAAAAAAAATACGTATGGACAGTCCAAAACATATATAAATAAATGTTTAAGTTTGAAAAATATAGAAAAATTCTTTCTCCTACAAAAAAATTCTTGAAAATAGCTTATTTTTCCTCGTTCTAATTGGATTTCCCCCCTTAAGATAGCGAGGGGTGAATCCTGCCCCGTTTGGCTTGTCGTCCGCTTCAGGTCCGCCGTCGCCTCGCTCCGATAGATGCACTCCGTCATTTTCGTCGCAGCCCGAGCACACAAATAAAACAAAAAAAAAAAATTACAACAACGCGATCTCGCACGCAAAAGCGGGCGAGACCAAATTCTTCGCCGCCGCCCTTCCCACGGAAGAAGGAGGCGCGAGCACAGCTCTCCTCGTCTCCCGGCCAAAATCGGTGACGGCGAAATCGCCACGTCACAATATATATAAATTTCCTCTTTTAACTTTCATCTTTTACTTTTAAACGTTTAAAAAAGAAACCATAATAACAGTACAATATCTTCAGCATAACTTTATTATAACTATAACTCAAATTAATGACTATAACTCATAAATTAATATATCGAATATTTTTTTAGAAAAACATTTTCTAATGATTTTTTGGGCAGTTTCACAATTGTCTTCTGCATGTTGTCTTTTTAATACAATTTTTCCTCCACTTAAATGCTTTAAAAATGACATTATCTGATTATCAAATAGTGTAACATCTGACATTTTCTCCACTTCTAAATAAAATATGTCATCTGTAAAAGAAATGTATAATGTTAATAGAAGTAGTGTACTTCTAAAACTAATAAAAATAGTGGAAATAACTTCACTAAATTTGTGAAATTACATATTTTATATCTACTTACTTTTAATTTTAATATATCCTTTAATTTGTACGTGTTGTCCTTTTTCATATATATTTTCATCACAATTATCATTTACTTGTACTTCTAATTTATACATCCCATCAGTAATAGATCCAATACCAAAACTGTTATGATTTATTTGTGTGTAATTAAAATTTGTTTTTATAAAACCATGTACATCTGAAAATATATTTTATCGTCACATTTTAAAATATAATTTCAAAGTAAAAATAAAAAGTAAATATATAAATAGAAATTGTATCAGAAAGTCGGCGTGATGTAGCGGAATCTTTGATGACTGATACGACCTCGCACGAGGCCCGGTGGCGTGAGGAGCGGGCGATCCAGTGGTGTGAGGACAGATTAACTCAATCTCGAGATAATTAAATGAAAACAACTTTATTTGGTTGCGCAGGATCGTATGATCTTGTCGATTCTTACAGCTCGTGATCTCTTGCCGCGGACGCCGGAAATCTTCAACGCGGTGATCTCCGTTTATGACCCGCGGAGTTATCGAACCTTGGCGTAACCAGCTCTAATATTCTTAAATTGTTAAAAACTTAATATCCGTCGGCTGCCACAGATTTGAGCGCTGAATGCGGACGTGCCGTTGCTGAATCCGGGACGTGGATTTCACCAGACTGTCCGTCCCCGGGCGCGCGAAAGAGCACATTTCAATAGGGTGATAGTTTCACGAATAGCGGCTTCCGACGCGACGATCGTGACTTGAATTTATCGAAACAGCTGAGAGTCACCCGAGCGAATTCTTATACCGATAAGCGAGAGCGAAGACTCGGGGACCACGATGGCTCTAAATGCAAAAGGCGGAAACGTCGAGCGAAAATCAACAAGAAGAAGAGCAGTAGCCGTTATAAGCGGTGTCTAATATACCCTATCGGTTGTGCTCTGTCGCGCGCGGATTGGCGGATTGGCGAGGATCGCGAGATCGGCGTAATGCTTGATTTCCTTAAAAGGAAATAAAGCGTTGAGAAGCGGAGATCCGCGGCGCGTGCCGGCTGACGATTCGTGGAATTATTGTTTAGTTCGCGGTTGCTATGTCAACGTCAACGATTGTTTAGACGTGGCGAGCTAATTATCCGGCAAGCGCCACGGACCCGCGTGTTTACGTGTCCTTGCGAGCAATTATTCGCGAATAAATATGCTCGAGTTTCGGAACAGATGTGTCACTTATTTCTCTGGGAATATTATTAAGTTGACTGAATATTATCTTTGAAACTCATCTGCTCCGAATCCCGAACAGAAATATTATATTCTATAATATTTTATGAAACTTATTAAAATATATTATTTACATATAAATTTATTCAAAAAATTTGGTACGTCCTGTATATTTATCAATTGTTGACATATTCTGTTTTCAATGTTAGATTTTAAATTGAATGCTCCCATATTATTTATTATGGTATTTTGTTGAATTATAATTTCGTATGGTAATGTTCCGTGATTAAATTCCGGTATTTTTGGTTTCTTTGCTTTACCCCCATCAATATGAATTATCTATAAATGAATTATTAGTGAATTATCTATTAATGATTATATTCATAATTAATAATAAATAATTGAATAAAATTCTTTCTCTTCCATTTTGCAAATGATGATAATATAGATTTTTAGTTATATTAATTCATAATAATAAATAATATTCCAAATTTTACTTAGGTTTCATATT